GAAGAGCNGTGAGTGCACCGCAGAAGGCATACTTTCTACCGCCCAGATTAAATGGTTGTTAAGATCCAGTGGCTGGCGTGCCTTCTGGTTTTTGGTCCATTGCGACGTGCCGAACTCCAACTATTTCTGAATCTAACGGCTCAAATTCAATTTAATCAATCATAGCGGTAATAAAAACAAAAAAACTAACGATTCAAATTTAAATTCAATAGTCAAAATAATATTACTAATTAGTTCAAATCAGATCCAACACTAAACTCCTCCAAAGTAATAAATAACCATCCATTAATTCACTAAACCATAAAAAATTCAATTTTCTCATATTTCACTACCAATTTTTTCTTTTTGGCATTTTAATTTCTTTACCTCAAAATATTCGTAAAAATAAAACAAGATAGATTATACAAGAATTAATTTCAAAATTTTTAGCTAAAAAAAATCGACGAAATATAAAAATTTAACAAATTATAAAGTTGCTAATCAACTTAATATTGTTGGAAATATCTGAGAATTTGGAATTTGCAAGTATTTCTAAAATTAGAAATTTATAGTTAAATTGCCTTCCGCTCGTCGGCTTGGTACGTCATAGTCATATTTATAGTAGGTGGGTGGATGTAGGTCGGCTATCCTCCAAAAGAAGCTGGTTTGATTTGGACAGAGACTTGGATATAATATTATCCCTTCTCTTCTAATTTTATTTTCAAAAAAAAAAACAAAATGTACCCGGAAAATTTATATATATATATATATTATATTTACATGAAAAAAGTATATAACTAAAATAGTGTAATTGTGGATGAAGTCAAATAAAAAACTAGACATTCTTAAATAAGGATGACAAGCGTGGAGCATATCCTTGTATAGAAAATACAAGCAAAGGATTCAAAACATTTCGAAGTGCAAGACACAGATAGCCTGTGACATTTTTTTTTTTTTCCAACTCTGAAAAGGGTAAATGTCCATTGGTTTCTACCATTCCCTATTACTAGTCGCATTGAGACAAATAGTTTTCGAAGCAAAAAATAGGAAACACAAAGTGGTGCGTGAGTTTTCTTCTAGTGCATTTTTAACGAGGGAGTCTAAAGTTTCAATAAACCTTAAAGTCTCATTTTTATTAAAATAAGAATAAAATAGAAACGCGAGTTTGTTATAAGCGGGAGAGTAGTAAGTACAGATTCTACCATTTTATATCTTCACTTTAAAGTCAAAATAAAATTTGTTTGAATAACTATTACAATAAATAGTAAAGTGTAATTAAATATTTGAGTAAATTGTACAAATGGTCCCTCAACTTTAATCAAATTGGAGTAATAGTCCCTCAACTAAAAATTCATTACCATTGGTCCCTCAACTTATCAAAATGTGTAGCTATAGTCCTTTTCATCAATTTTGTCAAAATATTGTCAAAATAAGCTATGTTGGAATAACCATTTATATAATTAGGGTCCCTTAACTCATCAAAGTGTATAATTATGGTTCTTTTCGTCAACTATGTCAAAAAATTTGTCAAAACGAGTTATATTGGAAGGACTATTGTTACAATTGGGTTAAAGTTAAAGGACCATTTCTCCACTTGAATTAAAGTTCAGGGACCAATGGTAATGAATTTTTAGTTGAGGGACCATAGCTGCACGTTTTGATAAGTTGAGGGACCAAAGGTAATGGATTTTTAGTTGAGGGACCATTGCTCCAATTTGATTAAAGTTGAGGGACCATTTGTACAATTTACTCTAAATATTTTAGCCAAAAGTACATAATGTATGGTATAGATTAATGGCTAGTTGCCATACTTGGCCACCCCAAAAAGAGAGAAAAAAAGAAGAAGACGTGACTAACATCCAACTCATTTCTCATTAACCTCACTCCTTCACCTTTTACAAAATAGCAACGTGTATGAAATAAGTTCATTGTTTCATAATTAAAATTTTTTGTATGATATATTGATATTGTATGATGTTTAGATTAAATAATGTAATTTAAACAATTGCACATGATATTGACGATACATGTAATTTGAAAAATTATAATGTTAATCAGAAGATTGCTATGACGGTAAATCTATTACATAAAAGTTTTTAAAAGACGGTAAGTGCTAATTGGACGGCAGATAAGGATCTAATGCCTAGGCATCTAGGCAGAAATTAGATGGGAGCCAATGGCTTAACCATGATTTTCAAATAATGAGGTTATAATATTGACCAAAAAAGATTCATTGGGCCATTTCGTCAAGCATCTAGTAGGCACCTGCCTATATTTGTCAACATACGTCAGGAGTAGATATTGTCGAAAGTTTATGCTAATATTATTCGTAGATACTTGTCAATAGTGGATGCAAGATACTGATTACAAAACAAATATACATAGACTTTTAAAATTGTTGGAATCAAGAACAACCGATGACACCATGCAGTCTCTGACACAGGGGTGAGCCTGGCTGTCCTATACGCCAAAAGATAGAAAAAGAAAGAAAAAAAGAAAAGAAAAAGTAGAAGATGTTACCTGACATTCGTGTATAATTGAGCAATGATTAATTAAATAAAAAAAAAATATAATAAAGCGCCCTTCTTTTACTATTACAACTCTCCATCTCTCACCGGAAAACCTGCAGGCTTTCTCGCCGGAATCGAGTCGGTTCGGCCGGGTCGCTTCGCTTTTGACTTTGCGTCTTCACGAAGCTGAACCTCCAAGCTCGAAGCTCAACGCTGCTCGCTTGCTTCTTCTTCTCCTCCTCTAATTCTTTCAAAGCTTTCAATTTCGTGGGTTTCCATTTTTGTCCCTCTCTCTGTACAATGGGTTGTGCTGGATCGTCACAGACCAAAGGAGACGGTGAGGTTACTCTATCATTCTCTCAGCTTCAGTCTCTTTGTTTATCTTTTGGGTTTGGTGCTTTAGCTTCTGTTTGGCTGCTGGGAAAACGCAGGAAAAGGAAAGTTGAAAAATCTTTGAAGAAATTGAAAGTAGTTGTGATTTCTGGAAATTGGTTGAGCGCTGAGCTCAGTTGAGTCAGACTTATGAATTATTTCTCTTTCTTGAAAAATTGATCAATATGTTATTGGGGTTTATGAATTGTTGTTATTTTAATTTCAAGAATTAGTTTTTGATATAGTTTGGATTTTTCAAGATTTACATGCTTTGTTGTTTCGACAAACAATGCTCGAATGAATGAAGCAGTGGAATTGTTTTCGAGAAAAGAAAAGGAAGAAAAAAGAATTAAGATGATTAGGGAATGACATTGAGTTTAGCTGAGGAATCGAACATCTGAAAATTGCGGTTTTAGAGATGGATTTAGGCCTTTAAATGTGTTTTTGACCATTAATCTGCGCATTGAAAAGCCGGACTTCGACTTTATGCCAAAGATGGTATTTTTATGCCCAATATGGTACAGGGAATTGTTTGATCAGACAATTTTCTTAGTGTTATTTCTTTCTGATCTTAACATTGGCGTGTGACCGTTGGTATTAATTTTTCCAGCCTGTATGTTGGACATTTATGTGCACAAAAGTGAAAAGTAATATATGAAATTATGCCCTATTGAACTTATGAATGTCATATCTGGAAGGCATTGTGCAAAATCTAGAAAAATCGTGGGCTTTCCTTTCTAGTTCTATGCTAGTTCATTGAACTTGAACGAGTTATTGGATGGGGATTTGTGGTTATACTAGTTATGTATTTCTTCTTAGTTCACCAAGAAAACATGAATAACTAAGAGAAAGGAAACAAGTAGTTACATGCTTCAGTCGATGGAGTATGGTTCTCACTGTTATCTTTTGATTATTTGCAATTTACGGTTAAGAAAGTTGATATTTGTTTTTTTAAGCACTGGTGATTTCAGAGGCAATAATTAGATTAATATTAATAGGGACATTGAAGAAGGTTCGGAAGCCAAAACCTTGGAAGCATCCTCAGCCATTAACAAAGTCTCAGCTTTTGCAGTTGCGTGAAGAGTTTTGGGACACTGCTCCTCACTATGGAGGCAGGAAAGGTACTATTTCCTCTGGATGTGTATATATATGTATTTATGTATTGAAAATTACAGAAGATTTTTGGGTTCATTCTTTTTTGTTTGTTGGATTGCATCATTGGGTTACCTTAATACAAAATAGTCATGTTGCCCTTAATTTTTTTTACTTGTTACTATGTTCCTACTGGGACGCAATGTTTTCTATGCCAAAACAACTCCATGTTTGTAAAAACCAAGGGTGGCAACTTACAGGGAACATCAGAATGCGTTTAGATATGGAAATGCAATCAAGGGAGAATCAGGGAATATCTGTGAAATCCTGTGCAATTTAGAGTGAAATGTTTCATGATATTATATTAATCAGGAAAACCATTCTCTTAAACCTATTAGTCTTTATTAGTAAACTTGGTTGTATAGAAGTGTAATAGAAGCTCTTATCTTGTGAACATTGACTTGAAAAAAAATAGGATGAGAACTAGAATTTATTGCTTTTCTAGTCACCTTAAAATCTCAAATGTAACAGTTAGTTTGAGTTCAGTCACTCTGTAGAGCTCTGAATATTTATTGTGATCGTCTGTTGGTATAACAATTGAACAATTTGTACTCATCTGAGATTGAATGACCATTAAGGATCATAATGTTCTAAAGAACTTGAGTACAAGATTTAAGTATAATGTTTTGGTAAATTTTCATTCAATGTGAATAATTCATGATTTATGTAGAAAATGAATGCTCAAGATACCTGATTATTAAACTTCGAGTTCAGTTTGAAGACCCTATGACAGCTTAATCTGTATTATTTGGAACTGGTATCACCTAAGAAATGTCTTAATTACATAGAAGGTGATCTTTTTGGGATATTTTTAGGGTACGATAATGTTGATTGTTGAGTAACCTAGAAAATTCTGTATAGAACGTTGTTAAATGAAGGGAAACCAGAGATAACTAGATAAGAGAATAAAGATGATCACGTCATGTGAATGCAATGGCAGCTAATGGCTGCATCTAAAAAAAATGGAGAACAAGGATTAGCTTCTTGTCTGAATCTCTAAGGATAGGATTTGTATTTTGTTGAATAAGTGGTCACCGCTCACCTCAGTATCACCTCAGGATAAACGAGAAGAATTGAAAAATGTTGTAAATAATACCACTGTTCATGTGTTTTTTTCCGTATATTTGGTGTGGTGGTTTTAGTTCTTAGGGAGTGATGCTGTAGGTTTATGCTTCCGATAGAGAATTAAAGAAGGATCTTCGACATGATACTGGTTCAGAACCCTAAAAGCACAGAAAAGTGATTATTGTGGTCATGTTCTTGTTTGACTTTGCATTTGCTACTGTGGTTTTTGTTTCCTTTTCTAAGTTACATTCTTCACACATGGTATATCTTACAAAAATTTCACTTGTACTGTACGTTAGAGATTTGGGATGCACTTCGAGCTGCTTCTGAAGCAGATATAAGCCTTGCACAAGCGATTGTGGACAGTGCTGGGGTCATTGTTCAAAATGCTGATTTAACAATTTGCTATGACGAAAGAGGTACTTATCCAATTTCCATTTTCTTCATTACTACTCGCTGCCCCCCAAAAACCTCAAATGCTATGCAAGTTTCTTTTTGGCATACATATCTGAGCGGGTGTGTTGTAAGTGCAAGTGTCGTCGTGTGTGCTTTTTGAATGAAAATTTGGCAAAACTTGTTCCATCTTCTATATAAATGGCAGATTGCCATTCATATTTTACTGCCCTCCGTTTCCTCTTAGCACGTGCTTACATTAACCCCTTGCAGGTGCAAAATATGAACTACCGAAGTATGTTTTGAGCGAACCAACCAACTTAATTCGAGAGAGCTGACTCGAGGAGAAGATATGACAAACTTTGCTCACAAGATTGAATGTAAATCATGTATATTTTTCTCTCGTTCTCTTCCATATCTTAAATAGAGACGGTCACTTTTACGCCTTTCCTTTCACGTTCACGTGAATTCTTCTTAGTTTGCTGCAAGTTACTTTGGTTAATTGAACAGTACCGCAAGTGTTGTGAATAAGTTTTTGCATGATGTGATTCAATGCTTGTGCAATATGTTGTAGAAATGCTTAAAAAGGTCATACGGCCGTCGTGGTTCACTTCTCTTTTTTTTTTTTTTTTTTTTTTTTTTTTCTTTTCAGTAGATCGATATTTTTACACTAGGGGGAGGGGGAGTTCGACTAAGCCACATAATGGGCAGTCTAATTTGGTATCCAATTCACCATTCACGAGATTCGAACCTAAGACCTCTCACTTCTAAGTGAGGAGGAATACCACCACACCGTGGTATTGAGTGACGTTTCACTTCTAATTATGTACTATTTCGATTTAGAGCAAGTAAACACCGTGGTTATAGCGCCATAGACAGATTACAACTTTATAACCACGAGTATAGATCCTCTCCGGATCTAAAAAAACAGAGCCCAAGGATTAAATGATTCGAGCTGTTGAAATTTGATCCAACGGCTACAAATAAAGTCTTTTAAAAGTTATAATAATTATAACCATTGGATCAAATTTCAACGGTCCGAATTATTTGATCATTGGACTCCCCTTTTTTAGATCCGTAAAGGATCTGTATGCTATAACCACAACATAATAATGATAATTAAGGCCGAAAAAGGATGATGTGGAAAATTTGAAACCAAGAAATTGACAAGCAACGGCTTGTTTAGAAGCCTCTAGTTGGCTGGACTCTGCTCGCCTTCCAAGTTTAGTCTTTTTTTTTTGGTAATCTGGAAATACACCAGGGCAAAGCTAGAGTACAACAGGAAAGTCCACACCGAGGACTAACCAAGCTAAAAACCAAAAAGACTACAAACAACCGAGTGATACAAGGTTAAAGACCGACACAAGTAATAACAATATGTCATCCTAAATCACTCCAACAACGATTCAGCTTAGTGTGGGCATGGTAGACCATCCTTATTTAGAATATGTACAATTGAAGACGGGGGTCTTTTGATCCAAGTATAATTGCTCATCTCCAAATTCTTCGCAGAAGCAAGTCTGTCTGCCGCCCTATTGGCAGATCGAGGAACCCAAGACCATAGACACTGTTCGAAGGATCCCTTCATATTCATTGCTTTCCAAAGCACTGGAACCGTCTCCCATCTACCCTGATAAATGGAATTGGATAAGCTTGAGACAACTTCCTTATAATCCGATTCAATTATAACCTTCCCTAACTCCAAATAATTAGCAAGCTTGCACCCCTCTGAGTGGGCCTTGGCCTTAGCCTCTTGCACTCCAGATGCCATAACACTTTGTTTACTGGCAGCAATAAACCTTCCATTGGAGTCCCTAATCAGTAATCACTGTCGCAACATAACCCTTTTTCGTCGTCGAACACCAACTGGCATCAACATTTACCTTGTACCATGAAATCTCAGGTAGAGACCAAACCGATATTGTTTGAGGAGCCCCATTTGAATTTGCGTGACTGCCTTGAATAGTCCTCCTTCCCCCTGCACCTATATTAGATCTTTTGGTAGCCTCCATGAAAGCAGCATGGGCACAATTAATCTTATGAATTACCTGCAAAGGTGACACAATTTTCTGATTGAAACTAGCATTACATCTCTCCTTCCATATATTCCAACAAGTAAAAGCCACTTGTGATAATATTCGATTTTTTTCTTGTTTGTTTTCCATATCAGCCTTAATTAAAGAAAATAACCAATTTTCAACAGTATCAATTTCAAATCGATTAGTCTTAGGGCTGGTTTGGTATTGCTGTGCTTTGAAAAAAAGCTGCTGTGAAAATAAGCGGCTGTGCTGTGAGAATAAGCGGCTGTGAAATAAATCAGCAGAGTGTTTGGTAAACTTTTTTGTAAAAGTGCTTTTGGAAAATAAAGCAGTCAAATAGTGGGTATTTTCATTAAAGAAGCACTGTAGCTCCGTGTGCTTTGAAAAAAAGCCATTTTTCCAAAGCTGCAAATAGCAGCTTCAGCTTTTTCCTTTGATTTCAGCTTATTCTCACAGCAGCTTCCAAAATAAGCCTTTTTTTTTTCAGTTTACCAAACACCTAAAACCCTCACAACTTTTTTTCATGGGTGCTTTTTTTTTAAGCACATCACTCCCAAACTAGGTCTTAGACCTCTGCTTGTAGCCAAGGCAGATTTCGGATTTCGATTTTCGGTTTTTCAAAAAGGGAGTTGTTATTAACACTCATTTTTAATAAATAATTATATGAACAAGGAAGAAATGCAGTGTGACCATTTTTAGTGCCATAATAAACCGTAGTATAATATTAACCCAATTGCATATGTTACTCAATATAATTGTATGCGAAAATTAGCGTTGCGGCGTCATAAGATTATGAAATTCACACTAATAATTATTACGTAGAACAAAATACAAATTATAACAATGTAAAAGCTAAAAAATTGCATCTCAGAGAAATTCAACCTGACAACTCCTGGAAGCCTTTTCAAGCATTAATTCTCCGTAAAACCAATCCATGTGATTAACAAACGTGCTGGTCTCATCAAGAACTCAGGTAACAGAATCCACGGAAAACAAAACATTTCATCTTTTCCAATGCAGGTACACAATGACGCTTCCTGAAAGATAAAATATTGATCAAACATAAACTCATGCATAAATTAAATATTTACTTATGCGTAACATGCTGTTTCGTGTTTCCTTCCTTCCTTCCTATAATCCTCTCTACCAAACACAGTGTTAAGAGTTTCTTGAGATTGAGGAAACACCCTGACGCAGGAGGAGCGTAAGTAATACAATTTGAGCTCACCTTCAAGGCCACGAGTGTTTTACAGGAAAATGCATTGAGGCAACTCAAATCTCCGATAATCATCAAGAATTGTATCAACACGAAGATCAAGTTCAACAACATTACGTTCGATGGCAGTTTGAATCCAAGAATTAATGAGAGCCAACTCGTTACTACAGCAGGAACAACGAAGACGAAACTTTTTAATGTCTGATGATGAATCACGAAGGGAGAGTGCACGATCAACAAAGGTCGAAAAAACAACAGAGTCGCACTCATGTTTCTTTTCCGTGATAAAAGACTTTGATTTATGTTCGAAGACCAAACCCATGTGTCCTTCCATCTTTTAGAGAGAATGCTGATCCTCGCGGCATACTTTGTTGGAACGAAGGAAAGTATGTGACAAAGAATTGCATCTGGTAATTCACTGATCCTATCTTCGCCTCCTCCTTGAGGCTTTGAATTCTTTATTAGTCTTCGAGTCTCCGAATTCAACTCCATTTTTACATCTGCCTACAAATTAGATGAAAAATCTAAATAATTGAAACTAAAAACTCTTAATTTACGCTCCTCCCGTTCAATTACTTTTACAAACTGCAAACTGTTCATATATATTTGACATGTGAAAGAGATTCTACTTTTCGAGAGAAAAAACCGATTAAAACCAACAATACCAAAGAAGTTAATCAATGGAACATTTTTCCGGAAACCATTCCAATTCAATCGAGAATTAGCAATTGAAAAGAATTATTAAGTAATATTCACATATTAACAACGCAAAAGGGCAAGTAATATTCACACATTTTTCCGGAAATCAAGCTTCGTTAGAAATTTCGTCAACTTGATCACGTGGCATCTTTCCACTTCAAGATTTCTAGAAGATTACAAGACATTGGGGTGAGAATTATATTGACTACAACTTATGAAACTAGAGCTTCAACAAAGAAAAATGTGTGTTTCCATGATCTTTAGTCAACGTAATTCTTACTCCATGTCGTCTAGGGGAGTTAAAGAGACAAAAATACCCTTCAAAAGAGGCTCGCATGCATTTTGACGGGATTTCTAACGAAATTTGGCAGAGGGTGGTATATTCACACTAAAGGAGTCTGAGAGGTTTTGAGAGCTTCGAGTCATCGAGACAGTCTCTTTGCAAAGCAAGAGTAAGGCTGCGTACGATAGAGGTTCTCCTGACCCTTGCAAAGCAGGGAGCCTTGTTGGCTTGGGGTCGCCCTTTACAAGAGGTTTTAATATGTAGAAATTTGCTTTCTTATCCTGCTTCAAGTTGGTAATGGAAAGAGATTCATTCTGAGACACGAAAGAAGTCCAAGAATCACCATACAGAAAAGAAAAGAACCCGTATACGAAAATTGCTCAAAAGTTAAGCTGCAATGTATATGCAATCACACAGCTGACTGGCATTGAATACAAAAACAGAAACCAAATCTGCAACTTTGTTGATGCTGCTTTGCATCTACCTACATACTAGTGGCTAGCTCAATCAACGCTCTACCATCGATCCCTCGACAGCATTGCTCAAAATCTTGTAAATTCCATAGGCTGTGGAGTAAGAAATCTGGCTAAGGCATCATCGATCATTCTTCCTCAGCATCACTTTGATCAGAATCTGCAAAGTACTCGACCATGTCATCAGTCCATTTTTGCGTTCGATGTCTTGCATCTTCCCAATCCTTCAAGCAAAACATGCAGTCCAGCATTTTTGGAGATTGCATGCTCCTCCTATGATCCAAGACCTGCTTCCCTGCACTACTAAAAGCGAACTCTGGTGCTATTGCACACACCGAAGGAGTTAGGAGGTCACGCGCCATGACAGAAAGCAAAGGAAACATTCCCTCGCGCGACTTCCACCAGGCTAGAACATCAAGATTGTCATACTCCTTTAGAGTCATAGAGCCTGCATAATTTATTCCCAAATATACATGCAGCTCAGTTGGCCCGTACTGCTTTATATCTTCTTGCCTCACATATTCTCTCCAGCTAGCATGAATATCGACTCTTTTTCTCTTACTGTCAGAAGTAGTACAGGGTTCTGTAACTTCTGTAGCCTCTGGAAATCTGGATTCATAAACCTTATAAAGGTTATGCAACATAGTGTCAAGTGCTTTTGCATCGAATTTCAGTGGCGTGCTTAAACATTTGGAAATGTTGTTCACGATGTGTTGTACACCACATAGTTTCATCCTGGGGTCCATTGCTTTAGCTAAACAGAAACTGGGCAACATGAACTCGCAATAGCTTCTGAATTCTGATTCCATAATGTCATAAATTGCCTTGAACCCCAAATGAGCTTTATGTTTGGAAAATGTAAAGCTAATGCAGAACAAATGATGGAGTGCCATACAAGAACT